TCTCGACCTCGCGGGCTACAGAACCGTGAATAATGCCCAGGGTACTCTTGGATTGATCACGCTGAACAATGATGTATTCCTGTGCGCCATCATCCTCGCTTCCCAGGTCGCTTCCGTCCGACCAGGCGAGACTGTACAGAGAATCCACGCCGTCGACTTTTGTCTGCACGCACCTACCCTGCTCTCTACATATCTACTGACAGCAAGATAGACTGCCTGAACAGGTCGGACTATGATCACACCCACGGTCACGAGCCGAATCCATATCCTGGCGAGACATTTGCTTCGGACGACATCGATTATGGGGGCGGCTCTGATCAAGGCGACTCCACGGCTGAGCATCCTTTCCATGCCTTGAAAAAGCTGCTTAGCAACGGCTACTTCTACTACAGCTGTGACTTTGACCTGACGAGCAGACTTCAGGAAAGGTATGTTGGTATAATATCATATCATGAGAGAGATACACTACTGATGTTGCATAGAGCGGAGAACGATGCACCTTTCGACATTGGCAACCTCGATGAGGGCTTGTTGTGGAACTCGTATATGATCAATCCACTGTTAGAATTTCGGAGCAGGCTGACGGAGAAGGAAAGAAAGGAGCTCGATCAGTCACGCATGCTGACGTCAGTAATTCGAGGCTTTGTGAAATCTTTGATCATTCCCCCATCTTCAGCTCCATTACGCAGCGCAGGGCCATCGAATCTGCCCTCCGCGTTGACAGTGATCTCACGGTTATCATCTCGAAGAGCTGGCACACGCTTCAATTCACGAGGGATCGATGATGATGGTAACGTTGCCAACTTCGTCGAGACTGAGACCATATTCTCGAGCCCTTCTGGGGTTTGCTTTTCGTATGTCCAGATTCGTGGCTCGGTCCCGGTCTTCTGGGAATCCACATCTAGTCTTCTTCCTGGTCAGCAGAAGATTCAGATTACCAGATCTTCAGAAGCCACCCAACCGGCCTTCGACAAGCACTTTGAGCAGCTTGCTCTTACTTATGGGGCTGTACATATCGTTAACTTGCTTAGCGCTAGCAAGCCCGGTGAAGTGGAGCTCACGGAGAAGTATCGTGCCCACATCCGAAGATCTCCACTTCGACAAGGAGGAGGAAATAATGAGTCCTCCGAGCACCACCTTCTACGGCAGACAGAGTTCGATTTCCACGCCGAGACAAGAGGAGCCGGAGGATATGAAGGTGCGCGATCGATCCGGCCGTATCTTGAGACATCGGCGGATGGCTTCGCCTATTTCATGTCGCAAGAAATTACGGAGAAGTCGGCAAAGGCCTCACAGAAGGAAACCATTCGCAGGACTGTCGTAGTCCTTCAACAAGAAGGCGTCTTCCGGGTCAATTGTCTGGATTGCTTAGATCGAACAAACCTTGTGCAAAGCATGATCAGTCAAATGGCTCTGGAAGGATTTCTGAGTCACAGGTCGGAAGTGGCATCGGCGGATTTCTGGGTAAGACATTCCAGCCTGTGGGCTGACAATGGGGATACGTTGTCGAAGATCTACGCTGGCACCGGGGCTCTGAAGTCCTCATTTACACGACATGGCAAGATGTCTCTGGCAGGAGCCATCGCGGATGCTCGGAAGAGTGCTACCAGGCTCTACGTCAACAACTTTGCCGACAAAGGGCGTCAGAATACCATCGATCTCCTCCTTGGTCGGCTGATGGGCCAAGCACCAGTGGACCTGTGCGATCCTGTTAATGATTATGTCACAGCGGAGGTGCTCAAGCGAGCACCCGAGTACACCTCTTCTAAAGCAATCCGAATCTGGTGTGGAACCTTCAATCTGAATGGGAAGAGCCAAGGAGCGTCAGAGGATCTTTCGCCCTGGCTCTGTGCATCGTTTGGAACCTCACGACCAGATCCAGAAATCATGGCTGTAGGCTTTCAAGAAATTGTTGAGCTTTCACCACAGCAGATCATGTCGACAGATCCAGCACGACGAATCACCTGGGAAAATGCTGTGAAGAAAACACTCAACGCTAACCCGAGCAAAACCTCCTCGGATGAGTACGTACTTCTACGAAGCGGACAACTTGTTGGTGCAGCGTTGATGATATTTGTCAAGGCATCAATCCTCAATCAGATCAAGAACGTCGAGGGCGCTATCAAGAAAACGGGCATGTCAGGCATAGCAGGCAACAAGGGCGCGGTGGCGATTCGCCTGGACTACGCATCCACTTCTCTCTGCTTTGTAACAGCACATCTTGCAGCTGGCTTCGCCAACTACGAGGAGAGGAATCGGGATTACAAAACTATCAGCCACGGACTTCGCTTTCAGAAGAATCGCAGCATTGAAGATCACGAGAGTGTTATTTGGTTTGGAGATTTCAATTACCGGATTGGGCTCCCAGATGATCGAGCCCGCCGATTGGTTCATACAGGCGACCTTGAGACTCTGTATGAGAATGACCAACTGAATATCCAGATGGTTGCTGGGATGGTGTTCCAATACTATTCCGAATCCCGCATCACCTTCCCACCAACTTATCGGTTCGATGTTGGTACGGACGACTATGATACCTCAGAGAAAGCTCGAATTCCCGCTTGGTGTGATCGCATCCTCAGAAGAGGCACCAATCTACGGCAAATTGACTACAATATGGCGCCTCTACGCTTTTCGGACCACAGACCTGTCTTCGCCAGCTTTGAGTGCACCATAACAACTTTTGACGAAGCGATCAAAGCAGCGCTCCGGAAGAAGCTCTACGACAAGCGCAGAAGGGAAGTTGGGCCCAGGCATGCTGCAGCCGACGGTCCCAATGATGATGCTGAGAGCAACAGTGACGACGAAGCAGACCTCATGGGCTACGAGTCTATTGCGCCCGGCCTCCCACCTGCTTCCTCAGACAGAAGGAAATGGTGGCTGGACAATGACAAGCCCGCTCGGTCCGACATTCGTCCCCCAAAGGAAGGCATGGTGCCCAATCCGAAAAGGGCAATCAACCCCTTCAAGAGTGAAGGGATTGATGAGCCTGACTGGGTTCAAGTCGAACGGTCAGACAGCTTTGGAAGATCGAGGTCACGCTCACGGGCCGGAACTGGTCGAAGACCAGAACCTCCACCAGCCAGAAGGACTCGTAAGGTTGGTGTTGGTGTCTTACCGGATGGAGCTAGCAACTCAAACATCACACAGCCCGACTACTACCCTGGACCGCAGCGTATTGTAACCAGCAACGACACCACGGAGCGGCTACTATCACCAGCTTCCCACTCTCTGAGCAGATCCCAAACCTCGTCTGGCGCACTGAAAAAAGCTCCACCACCGAAACCAAAGAAACCATCCAGCCTCGCCTCGCCACCAAGCCAGACCTCGACCTTCACCCTCAAGTCCATAGATAGCATTGACCGCCCACAACTAGACCGAGCTTCAACCTCTTCATCCACCCTACAAGCCACGAAAGCACCATACGTGCAGCCTCGTCCAGGAAATAGGAATACAGTCTCATCCCAGGCACAGAATCAGCAAGCCCAATCCCGACCGTACAGCCACCCCGTGTCACTGACAGCATCGACAGCATCGCCTCCAAAACAACCTTCACGGACGAACACATCAAACGCTCTCATCGTTCGTAACAGCAGTGCAAACAACGACTCCGCATCCGAATCCACTCCCCCACAAGAAAGAGGTGCAAGGAGCAGCACATTAAAGAAAACGCCGCCCGCCCCACAGGTCCAGCTCCGACGGGGCACAAGCGCCAGCAGCAGCAGCAGTGGGAAGTTCGACGCGAAGATGCCGCAAAGAAAGGCCGTGGTGACAGAATCCGCCGTTGCCGCCGCCGCTCCTCCTGCCCCTATCCTCCCACCCCGGCGGCAACTCACGGACTTGCTGAATGATGATGATGATGATGTCGAAGGCGACGACAAGACCGATCGGGGGAGTGACAGGTTGAGGGATTGGAAACCATTACAACCTTGCTGATCTACCCACCCCAATCAACAGGCTCACTTCATGGAGTTCGATGGAGTCGTGCACGAGCCAGAATGATGAACAGAGGACAGAAGGGGGGATCCATCCGTCGAAGGCAAGGCAAGGCAACCCGGTCAAAGAGGGATCCAACCAAACCCCAAATCAGCTTTTGGTGCGATAACACCAAGCTTGGTTACATATTGAGTCCGCGGAGGCGCGCCCTGGCTGGCTTTCTGGGTTTGTCCAATTGGGTACACTACCACCGTGCAGTATCATCATTATATATATATATATTTACACGATGATAAGACCGTCAGAGGAGATACTTATAACTCCGTACCTCGGTAGCTATCCCCCATAGGCACGCCCGCCCGCCTCTCCCTTCCTCAACAACACCACCTACCACGTAAAACAGCAAATACTCAAGTGCAGCCCCCCGCGGCACCATAATGCAACATCACAATCAATTTCTTTTTTTTTCTTCTCCCGCTTCCACGCGTATGCGGCGTGCTGCATCAGAAGTGACTCCTCCCACCGGGTGAAAGGACAGTGGGGAAGGCGTAGTAGATACGGAAAAAGGGGGGTTAGGGGGGGTTAGGAGCGAAGCAGTGAAGTTCATGGGGAGAGACAAGAGACTGTATAGAGTGATGGAAAATTCATGACTTGGTGGGATATCACGATATGATGGCATGTTCTACACTGCAGGCCTCGTCATGGCGGGGGCTTGAGAGTTTCGCAGACCAACGTGCCTACCTCACTGCCTGCCCATCTGATCCAGCAGTCAAGGCCCCCCCCCCCCTCTTTTCAAGCTCCCGCATCAAGCCCATCCCTATCGGGTCGCCCGTTCTTCAATAATCAAGGCCCCTCCAGCCAAACTCGCCATCCACATTTCTCCAACCTCCCTGCACGATACCCGTCTCCCACCCCAGCATCACGGCCAGGATTCTGCATCCATAGCTGCTCACCGCGCAGACGATCTTATCGCTCTGGCCCAACACCGCTAGATCAAGCAGGTAGGAGCGTGCGATCAGCTCCCTTAGCTTCAATGCCGCCTCAGAGGGCTTTTTGTGCGGATCAAGATTCTCAGCAGAAGAACGGGCGGCTGTGTCTTTGTTTTCTTCTTTGCCTGACTCAGCATGTCTCCTCGGCCGCTGAGCTGGGTTGATGATTCTCGGAATCTGGTCTTTGGCCGGCACGCCCAGAGCCCAGAACACATCTTTGAAGAATCCGCCTTCCCAGCCCAGACCTGCTTTTCCTGAAGCGGCGAGGGTCTTCTTGCTGGCGAGACTGATGTGGGATTGAGCTCTTTCAATCTTTGGGGTTGTGATGCTGGAAGTGATGAGCGGGTCGATGTAGATGTCTGGATCGTCAGATGCTATGAGTATTTGAGAAGGGGAAGCTTTTGGAACTTGAACGCTGAGGTTATGTGCTGTGTCGAGATACTTCTCGAGAGGGATATAGGATTTTTGGTATTGGTATTCCAGGGGATGGCGATCTCCATGGCGGATGTGGACTCCTATCTCTTCACCGCCGCTGGCACGGATTGTATTGTTCAGCTCTGCGGTTCGATCGTTGAGATATGCTTGATCTTCCTTGTTGAGCTTGTCCTGGAATAAGGTCTCGAATCCTGCTCGCATCATGGCGAAGATTTGGTGTTGTCGCATCACTCCCATTTTTCGCCCATCTTCGAAATGCTCGTTGAACATGTGCCCAAACGTATGTGCCACTGTTGCTGCGCTCACTAGCAAGTGTCTTGCTTGATGAGGGCAAGGGACGACCTGTGTCTTTGGAGGAGCAAGACAGCCAGGGGATGGTGGCGCCTTGAAGAACGTGCTGTAAGAGCCATATGGCCAATTCGTGTCATCGATGAAGAAAGCCCGGTTCTCACTCTGGGCAAGACCATATGCGAGCCAGAGACCGAGGAGGGTAGGGCCGAGGCCGGCGGCAGATGTTTCAAGGGCATAAATCATAGAGCGATCGCATTGCCTCTGAGAGTTTTCTTGGGAGGAAGAGGTTTTCAACCTTAGCAATTCTGCATTTCGGACGCCGGGAAGAACGTCGTGCGATTCGGCTTCTGTAATGTCCATAAAATGTTGATCTTTGAAGTAATAACCGTGGTGTGCTTTGTGTATATGAGTGGGGCCAGAGTGTGCCTTCTTCAGCATTGCCACTTGCTGAGACATCTCCATGGACTTTTTACAGATGCTTGCGTACTGCGCAGGCGTGAGTGGAAAGTCCAGTGCAGGGGGGATGCTGATGGTCCATTTCGATCGTCCTCGTTGATCAGTGACCACAACCGGGGAGGGTTCTTCTGGGAGAATTTTATCGACGACTTGATAAGCTTGACTTTCTGGAGACACATAGCTTATTGGGGTTGAGCTTTGATCAGATTGGACAATCCGACCAACAGCCAAGAAGAGCAATGTGCATACTGCCAGCCAGATTGTGAGCCGCAGAAGCCTTCTGCTGTTGATTCTTGGCGCTTTCTTTCCGTGCCGAGGGAGGTTTGAGGGCAGACCGGGTGAGGGTAGAGGAGAGCTTGAGAGAAGGGCCCTGGCGGCAGCAAGGTTGTTGTGTGAGTTGACTCGTTGTAGAGATAGTCGAGGTGGATTTTGGCGAGAGGAGAGAAGCATTTCGACTGTGACTGACTCGTTCCAACAGAAGTGGATAGTGGCACGCGATTTCTAAGGGGTCCATTGGCTGCAGAGCACCTTGACAAGGTTCAAAGAAAACAGCGGTAAACTTGTCGAGCAGCTCCAGAGCTTACCTCGTGTAGTAGACCGCTAGAAAGATGAAGGTGAAAGGTAATGGATGGCCTAGCAGTAGGCTGAACTAAGCATCGGCATAAAAGACAGTATTGGTGGAATAATCAAAGAGTTGAATTGAAGCGAGACCACTAGCAACACAGCTGGGCAGGACAAGGCACAACTTGAGTACGAAACGGGCGGATTTAATGTAGAACTAGAGGCAGTGCAAGCGAGGAATGTGGAGCAAGGCCTGCCTTGTACTCTGTACCTCTGCACTTGTGGGAGTACAGACAGCGGTGAGGTGGAGAAAAGAAAGTGCTCGGTAGCGAGATAAGATGGAAAGAGAGAAGATGTCCAGACCAGCCCAGACATCTTCATTCACTTTCGTATGCGGTGTCAGGAGGGAGGAAGGTGTCAGAACGGCCTCAGCCTTGACCAGCGTCTACGGTCAAGGGGGTTTCAAGTCTCGAAACAAATTCATAGGATGGAAGGATACATAGACTGCACCGGGGTTCGCTACCACGAGACCTGTCATCTTTGAGAGATCTGCAGCAGTGTGATGGAGTAATTGTCATTTGTGTGATTCTTATTGCAGCTTGTGGTGGAGTAACTAGGTCTGCAGTGCATCTTTTATTTTGGGCAGCACTGCACGACTCGGAGAGACGCCTCACTGCCAGTGCAGTGCCAGTGGTGGGAATGAGGCCAAGACAAAGCCAAGACAAAGCCAAAACTTCAAGCGTTCCCCCGACCAAACAGGGCAAGTCACACCCTGAAACGCGCTAAGCAGCAGATGCCAAGGCCAGAGAGATACTAGTCCATACCAGTACTAGTAGTTAGATTTAATGACTAAGCAGTGGTAGGAGCTACTCCGGGATCCCTCCTGCAGCCGAGTACTACGCGGATCCATGACATTCATCTTATTATGCTGCGTGTGTGTGCACTCGGCTCTGTCTCCCTCTGTCTATGGAGCGCCTCTATAACTAATGGGTATATGTACAGATTGGGTACAAAGGATAGGATGAGTTTCGCAAGGCCACCCGATTTTCTTGCACCAGTTGCAAAATTCATGCCGTTTCGTCCCAAACACCTGCGAAGAACATTGCAATGATACGCGCATGCAAACCCAGCAGCCCAGAACGTCAGACTCTGGATACTTTCATTCCATCCAGGCTTCCACAGGCGTCAAATAAAAGAAAGCACGGGTATCGAAACCTCAAACTCCAACTGATGCCGCTGCGCACAACTCCATTGCGGTATCGTTTAGCCTGCCCCCAACTCCGAATGCTAGCCTCTTGTACATGCAGCTTCCAATGTATGATGTGCAACCAAAAGAATGTCTATTCCAACTTAGCATCTTCTGCCGCACTACTGAGTGATGCCAATGGAGGTGTCGTGGCCGCCGAGGACTGGCGGCGTAGATGTGTGCTTGATTGTCGTCTGGAGTGACCAGCAGCTACTCGAACCGAACCACTTCGCCCCTTCACAATATGGCCGCTTTCCACCTTGTCCTGGATCATCTCGTCTAACATCTTCGACATTTCGTCCACGCTTCTGCGTTTCGTCTTGCCTTGTGGTGTGGTCTGTGGCGAAAGTAGCCCCTTGGGACCTATGGGATGAACAGGCGACGAGTTGCTGATGATAGAATTGGTCTTGCTGCCGTGGCTCTGATCTCCAGACCCCCTTGACTGCTCTGTCACTGACGATTCAGGTGTAAGCTCGGCCAGCTCGCGCTTCCGGGTTGCCGATCGTAGCGCTGTGACCATTCGCTCTTTATCATCCAGCCGAGCGCGCAGGTCAGCGATTTCCGCATCTTTCTCCCGTACCACCGCAGCGGCTTCCCGTTCATCCTGCCCACCAGCTTTGTTCAGCGACGAGAACGCCATTGACATGCGCGAGTAGCTGGATCGTCGAGCTTGAAGTAGCCTTTTTTCCAAGGTTGAAATGTACCGATTCTTGTCCTGTAAATCCGCCTGAAGAGCACGATTTTGTGCCTGCAAGCTGGCAAACCCATCCGCAAATTCGCCCGCAACGGAGTCTTCATCCTCAGCATTCAATGCTGCAAGCGTCTGCTGCTGGGCTGCTGTCACCGAGCCCACAGAAGGATTGCGGTACAGACCTGCCCCTGGACTACCCAAGGTAGACTGGCTGACGGATGAACGCACAGATCGGCCTCCAGCAAAATCGGTAGTAGTACCACCCGACAGACGAGAGTGCATGCCCAAGGCTGACACAGTTCCACTACCAGCGGTATTGACCCCGGTCGATTTGGAGCAGAGGATGAGTCGGTTGAGATGCTCGATGCGCTCCTTCAAAGCGGTGCGCGCAAGCTGCATCTCCAGCATTTGCTCCTCGTGTCTTTGCTCCGCTTCTTTTTCCAGCTGCTTCTCCTCTTTCTCTACCTGAGCCTTCTGTTGAGTCTCGAGCTGAGCGCGCAGGTTTTGGATCTCGCTGCGATAACGATCTAGTAGACCAGCGTTGGCTCCACTTCCAACAGCTTCTTCTGCTCTTTTCGCATGACTGACAATGTTGTTCTTAGCTCGTGCAGCAAATTTGAGCGTGTTGAGCGTTTCCCCAGTATGATTGTTGGCGGCGGCGGCACTGCCCTGGGAGCCGATCTGGATGGTGCAAAGGATAGAAACCAACGAGTTGCCAGAGAGTGCCCCCTGCAGAAGTCGAGTCAGCTTGCTGTCGCGATATGGTAAATGCTTTCCATCTTTGTCCGTGGGGTTGCCGCTTCTGTCCTTGTCCTCCGACAGCCGCGCAATGACCGTACCCAGAGTGAGCAGACTTTTGTTGATGTGGGCTCCTTCTGCACGTCGTTCTTTGCTTTCGGCAGCTCGTTCGGAACCTGCCAAGTCAATCAGGCTGAGGGTCGACACACGAACTCCCCCGGGGGTCACAGCAGCTCTTTTGAAATCCACTACAGCACCACCCAGTGGGACACGCTCGCGGCTTTCGACAACGATCTGAACGACTGCATGACTTCGCGAGCTCCGAGCATTGTACTGCGTGCTGCTAGTACGGCGAGCATGGTCGCCTCGAGCAATCACGCGCAGGAGTTGAGTGGGGCTTTGCACAATCTCTTCCTTCAAGGGTGTTGCGTAGACTCCTCGTTTGCTGTCTTCTCGAAGTTTGATTTCTTCCTGTTGTGGTGCGGCCATACCGGTGCCGGTGGTTGGTGGAGAGAGGAGATCGTGGATTTTCTCGTTGTAGATCTCGAGGTAGCTAACGCGAAGGAGGAATTCTCGGTGGGGAGTTTCACGGATGTAGGAGAATATATCTGTGATTGCAAGGGGGATGACACCTGGACTTGTTGCAGTCCCTTGCATGGAAAATGTCTTTCCCGTTCCAGTCATGCCATAAGCGAAAACGGTGCCATGGTAACCCTCCATCACCCTTCGCACCAGCCGCTTTGCGGATGAATCATAGACTTTGGCGTTGTTGTCATGCGTCGCGAAAACATTGTCTAGACGTGATCAGCAACTGGAAAACAGGCTCCAGACCGCAAGCTTACCATAATGATAGTCACCACCTTCTCTACCTCGATAGGCGACAAGCGACCTCCTGCCGTCAACCATCCATTCACCATCCGCTTGCGAGGATTCCTGAGCGCTCGAGTCGGGCCGAACACGCACGCTGACAACTACATTACCCTTGGCCTCCTTGCCCCTCGGATTTCTTTCGTTATCTTGCGCTTCATCTGCATCTTCACGACTTCGGCGAGGTACATCGTCTGTGTCCTCAAAGGTAGTGGCGCTCGTAGAGCATGACCCTTGAGCAGAAGAACTTCGGCTGTGAGGTGGAGAAGGATTGCTTCCGTCGGATACTCGGTGGCTGGAAGAAATAGGTATTGACTTGCCCTCTCCATCTCCGTTGAGCAAACTTGGTGTTTGTGAGCCTCGATAGCTGCTGACCGTTGTAGCTGTACCGACTCGTGATGGCCGCTTGAGTCGATTGCTACCCATGGTACCAGGGTTCAACACATCTGATACGCCTCTCCTAAAGACCGGACTGGAGCTGACTGAGGCTGCAGTGGTTTGCATGGAGGCTGGCTTCGGCGGCTGAGGAAAGGAGGCGATACTGATGGTCTTTCGGACGGTCTTCTCTGGGATTGATCCACTGGCCTTCCCAAGTGAAGAGGCTGACCGGAGGGTTGGTACAGTGGGTGTAGAAGCAGAATGTTGAGGAGCTGGCAATGCCGAAGGTCGCAGTGTAGCCGAAGGTGAACGTAGCTTCGTAGGACTCAAAGTCGTATTGGAGTCTTCAGAGGCCTTGGTTACCATGGGAGGGCTCTTCCTTGGTTTGCTGGAAGGCAGTGGCGGGAGCGCTGTAGTCGGCGGATCCATGGGTGGCCTTGACAAGACGGGAAGCGCTGTCGCGACCGCTGTTGACATGGTTGAGAAAGGGAGTTGGGATTTCAATCCCGACCGATTGGGGTTGCGCAAAACTCTGACGACGAGCGGACGTTGTTCGTGAATGTCAAATGCAAAGATCTATATCATGGATCATATAAAGAGTTAAAAAGTGAATTAGAGTAGTCGAGCAGATGCACGAGCGCTTTTCGGGTAGGCAAGCAGAGCGGCAGAAGTTGCGTCTGACAAGAGGGAAAAGTAGCAGTCGATAATTCGAGCTTGTCACCTGTATTGAACTTAGCCACCGTGTGAATGGTTAGGTTTCGGGTATGTGCATATATCGACCATGCAGGTTCCACAGGACCCAATTGAGATGATGGTGAGCGCAGAGAAATCGAGGTTAGAAACGTACCCTACTAGGTGTGCCGTTTGTCTGGCAGCATATCACCAGGTACCGCACCCAGGCGCAAAGCGTGGAAATTCTGCTCAAAAGAATGACCGTGAAGGTATCGCTGCAGAGAAGCAAGGCAGGATGGTAGCTGAGGTCGTCGGCAAGGGCTGGACCACGTAGAGAAAGGTTAGGGCGTGTGTTGTTGGGGATCGAATAACCGCAGACTCAGAGAGAGAGCTACTGGAGCTCATAGGAAGGAAATGTCAGTGTGGTCAAGGCATAACAAGCAAGCATTTCCCATGATGATACGTGAGCCCGGAGGGTGCGTCGAGGGCGCGGGAATGAAAATGAAGGACGGCTAGGGAGATGATTGGCTCTGGTGATTGAATGATTGGTTGCCATATTGCTTGACCAAGGGAGGTGATTTGCGGGTAGCTCGTGCAGCCAAGTTGCACGCTACCGAAACCCGGGATGTCAGGCCTGGAAAGTTTAATGGTGAAGGGTTTTTAACCCTCGTCGCGCGAGCCCTTTCTGCATTTTGACTTTGAACTTCTGGCAAAAACCTCTCACACTACATTGAACATCAACACCGATTCAGGTAGGCTACTCTGCTACCCGAGATGTCAGTCGGTTTTCTACTATGGTAGCTTATGTTGATGCAAAGGCAGCAGTCAACGCCGAGAACTCGAAGAAGATCACTTCAGCATTGTGTCTTTAATCTCTGTCCCCTATCTTGGGCTTGGATTCCGGGTTTCAGCCAGGAGTGCTGGGCAAGCCATAGCCCATACGCCGTACACAGTAGGGCGCTACCAAAGACGGGTGTTCAACCAACCGAGGCTTAAATCAACGGTGGCCCTCGACTGGTTACGCTATCAGCGGGTTTGTTGATTATGATGGGTATTTACGGAGTGAACCGCGTTCAGCTTTTTGGTTCTGAACCCCATAAGGTACTAGCCACTTCTCTGGTGATAGACTCGGCAGAAGGCCCTCTAACCAGCCCCACACTCCAGTGCTGATTCCCAGCCAATCGCCTCTTCCCGGCTTCAATAAAGTCTACGTAGTAAGGTAGTCCCCGGCCTCGCAATGTCATGCTAGAGCGTCTCCATCACCGTGACCAAGTGACCAACAGCAGCAATTCACCGAGGTCACACTGGTGGCCTCCACATATCACAGAGACGTTCGCAACGTAGAGTATCCTGGTTCATGTGATTCCGACGGCGAAAAGCCACTGATGTTGGGGGCACAGTTACTACATCTGATAGTGCATGGAATGTTGATCAATTGTCGGTAATATTGTAAATGACATGCTATGTTGAATGACATATTTCGTGCTGCAAATGCGGCACCTTAACTGTCACCAACATGCCACGGCTCACTCCATTGAAAGATTGCACTCACCTAACTAGTGATGGAAATGGCTGATAGACCCATGGACGGATGGGTTCCGGTGCCATTCAGTATTAGAGCGAACGATCTAAGGACTCGACAGTTTTGATAAGTGACTACCTAGCTATCTGACGAGCAAGAGTTAGAAGAAAAACTCTTTGGAAGCTTTAGTTGTTTGCATTATTCTGTCCTCTACCTATCGATGGTTGCCACGATGTAGGACACCAAGTACTCTGCTGCAGCTTACGGTCACCGTTATCCCATGTAGCAAATGCTCGCAATGCTCATGCATGTCGTTTCCTTTCATGATGCAGGTAACGAAAGACCGCGTCGATGTGTTGCGCCTGTCAGATCGTGGATCAAAGCAGGGAAGACTGCCTGTCCGGCCTAGATGCCGGTCTTCGCTATTATAACCACAAAAAGTCGTGTATGCCAGGGACCCCTATTCGACTCTGCCGCCAGACTTTAGCGTCGCGGAAATTCGCACTTTCCTAATCGGGATTGTGGAGATCCAATCCGGTGATGGCTGCTTGGCACTCAACGGCCACTACTTCTCCCTTGGCGCTGCTATTCCTTGTCCTGACAATGATCATCCTCGCCAAGTGTTTTCTGTGGAATCCTATTCGAGAAGACGCCTTCTTGCAGTGTTGACCAGCTATGTATGCCTACCTGACGAGGGGTAATCCTTCAAAAGCAAATGTCTGGGCCATGAGGTTGGAGAGGCTGGAAATCAGGACTAGCATGGTCCTCAAGTACTCAGCGATCTTCATTGGTAGTTTTCTACTTCAACACGAGAGTAATACAAGCCTATTGGTGGGTTCGCGATGGTTGGCAATGGCGCTAGACTGGGGACCATCTTGCTCCGTCATGGATCATCCAGATCCAGAATTCCTCCATCACAAACCATATTCATCTTCGAAGCGATAGCTGCCTTCCGAAGGGAGCCCTTCGGTTTTTGAAGACACGTCCTTTACGCCCATGGGCATATGATGCAGCTCCAAGAGACGGACGTTGGATCAACCTATCACTTGAGATCAGGACTTTCGGGCTGGCCTTGCCTGGTTGGATACTCCAACGGCATACTCCGTACATGCAATAATTACATTACGTTTTTATACGCCACACCCTAGACTACCCTGCGTCTCCCAGCCTCTTTCTCCGACCGAGTCCATCCAGATCCGGTAAGAACAGGAGAAAAAAACGTCCTCGTCATTTTGTCGTCTAGCCGATATTGCCATAGCGCTGTCTTCCCAACCAATTAATTAGCCTGGCTGGATGTCGGCCTGGCACCTGAGGCAAACCAGGCTTGCGATCATATCTCAACCCCCCCTCCTGAGGAACCATCATCCGTTCGTCTGAGGTAAGAACGACCTGTGAGTACTTCGAGCCCCGCACGCATAGTTGATGCTGCAATACGGAGTATGTCCTAAAAACGAGAGATGGCGGAGGCTCAGTCTAGCTCCAAATTCCTTGGGACAATCGTCAAACAGCAGAAGATGAAGACGCCCAATTACGCATGGTCTTGATCCAGATGTCGTGATACCCAATGAAATGGTGACCAAGACCGCAATATCTCGATATGAAAATCCACGGGATCTTCACGCGCGTGTGGCCGGCAAGAGCTACATTCACAGGTTGAATAGAACAGCGCTGAATCTCGATAAACTCTCAAGCTCTCTTCAACTTGATGATCCCCAAAATCTCTTATGACGAGTAGCAACGTAACCATTCACAGTTTGAACATCCTATAATAACATACACATCAAGCAGTAAATAATTTTCGGGCAAAAAGACCATCAAAATCCGTAAGGATTTGAGGCTGATGCACTCAGTTCAGGATGCCGGCATTCTAAGAGGATGAAACATGTTGCGTGTTGCATTTGGGTATCGTTGCGTTATGGGTCTACTTACGTTTGAAGGAACCTATCACGGATTGGGACATGCCAGTCTATTTCATTTCCCGCCCTTCCCTGGCCGTAGCTATCAAACAGTTCGCCTCTGGGACGGCAAGCAAGCAAGCAAAGCAGGCAAAACAAGACTCTAAAATGCTCAGCGAGGCCCTCCGAAACACGCAGACGCAAGTGCAAAGCAAAGCAACTTGAAAGGGAAGACTTTCTGCCCAAAACGAAAGCAAAGCAAGGCGGTCAAGTAGCCGGTCACGATCTCCACCAACGCGATCGATCTCTCACATCAGACTTCACTACTCAAACCCACTCAATGCTGCCGGAATGGTGCTTAGGTCGAGTGGACCCGAGCCGAGGCATCCTTAAGGTAAGGGTTGAAGCGTATGGGAATGGAATTGAGCATTCGGAAATCTGGAGGTGCTTCGGAAGTATGGACTCGACTTGGGGGAGCCTGATTGGAAGGAGGAAAGTGGGAAGCAGGACGTGGGACCATACGAGCTGGAGGAGGATGTTCTGCGAAGGGTTGAGTGTTCCGGGAGGCCTGGGGACGGTAAGGTTGTGCGCAGGCTGGTTGAACGGGTTGGAAGCTGTTCTGGCCATGATTGTTGGGGAAAGAGGGGTGTCTCGGCGTCATATTGACGAAGGGTGTGGGTGCCTGGTTTCCTAGGAAGGGGCTTCGATTGTCTCGGGCAGGCATGAAAGGATGGGCAGTGGTGGTGGGAGGATTGTTCTGACGGAACTGCTGATCAACCACCGGCATTGGAGCATGATAGCCGGGCATTGGCTGACCTCCATGCTGCGTGTTAGCAATCAGCTTTCGAGGTGGGGGGGTGAAAGGACGAGCAACCCAATCAGTAGAAAGTGAACGGGGAGTCGTCTCACTCGTGCTTGTTGTGCTGGTGCTGCGGCCGTTCTCGTCCGTGTTCGTGACGAGCACAGTCACAGTCGCTCGACCAGGCGGCGGAAGAGGGTGACCAACACGAATGGAGCTCAATGGGCGAAGTGCGGCCTCGCACAATGACTCGTTTCCTTCGTTGGGTGTGGTGAGCGAGATCACTGGAATCGGGAGAGGGCGGGAATCATCACCATGCGAGGATGGACGTCCATCAAAAGAGGTCCGAGCAGGACCATTGGATGGGGACTCAAGTTTAGGGAGAGAGACCACCTGGTTCATGACCGGACGCGGAACGTGCAGTGGACGCTTTTCCTTGTGAGGAGGCGGAGAACTACCAGCAGCAGCAGCAGGAAGGGATGGCTCAATCTTCAAAGAATTCTTACCGCGTTTACCGCGAGGAGTGTAGTGGATGGGAATCTCGATGCTTTGGCTTCAACGCTTTGGCTGATTCCACTGTTTCCTGCTCCTGCTTCTCTTCCGTAATCTGTGGCTTTGCCACCAACTTCTTGGATTCCTCCTTGGTGCCTTCAGCTTCCTGGAATACTAACGCCGTCTCACTCGAAAACTCAAAGCAAGATATCTCAGATTCGTTGATAGTGGTTCATGTGGTGTGGTTCTGATCAGTTTTTTGTTATCTGTTTGCTTATCTTCTTGAGCTGCCGGGTTCAAGAACAGTGACGGATGGCAGAGAGTGAAAGGCATGGCCTGGTTTTGTAAGACACGTTCATATTTCATGCTGCACTCCGCACAAAGAGGTCTGACAACCGCATTGTGCTCTGACCAGGGCGTTTTTCCTTATCAACTTAGCACAGTCTCGTTGTGCTGCCTGGTTGTAAGTTTCTCGTCATTGTTTGGCTTCTTTGTTCGGTTTTGACATTGCAAAAAGCAATTGTCCGTGAAGCAAAAGAGGTTGATCCCTAAAATGACAGAGCTTTTTGTGCGTTGAAATCTGAGGCTCTGTCCAAAGATGTAAGACGCTAGGGGAGCCTTTCACTATCTGTCCCGGTGCTCATGGTGACACTTTCACCTCGTCGTGCCAATCGCGGTTATGAATTTTGCTGAATGATGCAAACCAAAAAGACTGGAATGTGGCAGATACTCATTTTGCAGAATTAAGGAAAGAAAAACGCTCGTCTGAAACTCGAAGAGCAGCGTTAAGGTATGCCATACCTAGCCTCTCTCTACTAAGGCCTACACTTCCGTGGTTTTACGATGCAAGAGAAATGTGTTTAAAATCACTACCTGCTTCCCATTGTCATTGAGTTCGTTAGTCCTCTCTGGTTCTCAGATATTCGACTTCAGCTTCTAGAATCAGGTTATTGTGTGTCAAGACGTTGACCTTGCTAATGGCTTGATGGTGCTTCGTTGTCATTACTGAAAGCTTGAATTGCAGGTGTGTCACTTTGTTCTTTGCGTCCTGATACTCGCTTTGCAAAGCATAGCCGCAGGCATTGAGGTCCTTTGCATTACCGAACAGGTTACCGAGGACATCTTTCTGGTTCGACAATTCGGATTGCAGTCAATCTGCATGGTTTTGAACTTCCAAACCTCCTTTTCAGGAATTGAGACTCGACAATCTAGCTGTTCAGCATGGTTGACTAGCTGTACATGCTCCGCTGTTCGTTTCGACAGCTTCGACTTCAGCTCTTTTTCCCGATTCTTGCCATCTCGACACTCTTTCTCTAGAACTGAAATACTTTCTTTGAGTTGATTGATCTCGTGAATGGTCCGATCATGGTCTGCATTCCTTCTCGGCAAGTCCGAATGTAGTCTGTTCGCCTCGCTTTCAGCATGTTCACGCGCTGATTCTAGATGGCTGCTACGGAGATGCAAGTCAATGACATGCTGATGGCTTTTTCGTGTCTTTCGGTCATAGCCTTCAAATCAGTTCGCAATCTGCTTAACGCCAATCGCCAGTCCTATTCAGCTAGTGCTTGCGATCTGCTCCATGTCAGTTCTTCAATCTGGATGAGGGATTGATCGTGCTCCTTGCCCATTGTTTGCACATCAGCGTTCATTGTCTTCGACTGTTTCCACATGCGCTTAAATTCTGAATGCAACTGTTTGTTGTGACTGCTAACTAAGCGCTGTAAAACTGGCTATGCTTTGCGCAGCTTTCTGGCATTATCGTTCAAACCTGATCGCAATTTCATGTGGGGTTCCCGCGCAACTGTGATCTCCTTGGTCATAGAGGTCTGAAAGCTCAGCAACGGCCTCCTGGTACTTCGTGGTGATGGAACGCAAATTGTTGTCGAGGTTGTTCACCACGAATTGAAGAATCTGGATAGAGTCGGCCTGTTCTTCTCGAAGCTTTCAACCGCCCATTAACTCTGCAGTTCTCCTTCTCACCAATCCGAAATCTCTTTTTGCAACTCTGCCTTCTCAGACCTACATGCCGCGTCAGCCATCGTTGCCTTCAGCGTTGCCGCATCACTAATAAGGTATCAGAATGGGTAATTCTCAAGCATCGACTGTTCGGCATACTTATCTCATTCATTGCTACAAACGATGTTAGATAGTCTAGAAAACTGGCTAACTACATCACGTCGTCGAAAATCGCGGTCTTCATCTCTGCCGCTCCTTTCTAACCAGACATACTCCGTCTTTACACATTCGCTTATGTCATTATTAAGTTCTGCCAAAAGGATGCAAAAGTGAGCATTTTGCTAGGCATCGCCAGTGTGCAAACACTGACGTAATTATGGCATTGTAGTTGTCCGCTACCACAGTCCTCCACATCGTCTTGTTCGACATGTTGTTACTGCCTCGGCGGATATGTAAGCTTGTGTAAAGAACTAAACGTTCGTGGGCTTATTGGACATCCACGGAGCATTCGAGCTGGCCTGGGCCTGAAAATCACGGCTCCAATCTCCCGTCTATTTTCTCAAGACCGTGCAAAGACACTGTCTCCAATGTTGTGCTGCTCCCACAGGTTTCCAGTTTCTCACTGGGGAATTTGCAAAAATATCACTAAAACCGCAGCATATCTATCAATTATCATGATTAGCTTACAAAAGGCACTCATAGATAGGAAAACTTACGCAGCACTAGCGCTCAGGCTCTCAAAGGGTCTGGCAACGGTCGTGAAAGAGATAATGCCCAGAAAAACGACGACGAAAGCAGTAATAACCGCCAGCCTCCTCGAAATATCGCTGACGAAAGCCAAAATCCAGAGAGGTGAGATTAACATTGCTAGGCCTAAACCTGTGATAGTGAATGTTATAAATTGGTCGATTCGTACATCCGAAGCATAATGAACGTTGTCATCCTCTAGAACGGGAGATTTCCTCCAAAGCCGCGTTAAGCGGAAATGCGAAGACTGTTCCAGCACTCTTCGTAGTGGTGTTTTCATCTTCGGAACCATGGCGAAGAGATCTTTTCGGTGATTGATGAAGTCGGTCTCCTCCTCTAGGATTGCGTTCTGGTTGTTGTGAAACCAGTTCGCGAGACTGGCTACATCCTTCTGTGGAACGCGGGGCCGGGATCGCAGATCGGAGTGTTGAATGATTAATTCATCTATCCCAAGTCAGTGGATGTCGAAGATTCTTTGGACCAGATCGGCGTACTATACGCTCTTAACTTCTTATCTATCTCGCGGATAAGGTCTAGTCTAGTTTTCTGCGTCTCTTGTCTGAATGATCCGTTGTGCACGTCGGGTGCTAATTTTTCGGAAAGTCGACTCTCCAGAACTGAAAGTTGTGTCTCCAGCTCTACGAGCTCATCTTGCAAGATCAAGAGAAGGCGAGCGGTCAAGGCACTAAAGCGTCGGAGAATGAAAAAGTCGTTGTCAGAAGCAACGAAATCGCAAAATCCACGATATCCGATGTATTTCCACGGCTTTTCAGAACGATCGTGGGAAGTCACACTTTCTTCTTTCATGTTCGTTCCATTTGTGGTGGAATTGTTTGCGTTTAGGTGTTCATACAATTGCAGAATGATACTTTCCATGGTTGACATAGCCATCGCCCCACCCTATTTCAAAGAACTCAGCCACCCTCATTACAGCAGACTGTTACAATTTAAACGCTCAGTCCCAATTCTAACCCTATGGAGTTTAAAAGGTTCATTGGACTCTTACTTAATCTAATTTGATGGTTTGTTCGAGTATCATAACTGTTTACAACCTAGAATCATGTATAAAAAAATTTGGATTTGATACGGTACACGGATTTGATAAGGCATCTGATTTATCAGCCTTGTTAAGTAAAGCGCCGAAATTGAATTGGCTGAACGGCCGGAACGGTCTGCAACGCCCCACCAGCAACAACAAGCAACCTAGCCACCACTTCCAAGGTCACAGCCGTGCCCTCACAGAGCACTGCCTCAAATCCGAGTTGCTGAGAATATGTTCTTACAGCCTCGTTCCTGGAATTATCTCTTCAGCATTTTCACTTAAAGTGTATCATCCTTTCCTTAGTGGGGATTGTTTCGAACAATTCTCCTGTCATAATCTTTGCACACCTTTGATCTACCAATGTCGGAGCTCTTAACAGGATCTGCCGATCGTCGGCGCCCAACTCGACAGCCGACAAGAGAAGTTGCGGGCGAAGTCACCAAGAAAATCATCGGTCTCAACAACCAGGCGCTACCCCCACCAGCTTTTTCCTCGCCAAAGATTGGAGGCGCAGCCCGGTTTTTACCTCAGGAAGAACTTGACATGGAACCAGTCAAGGACCACGGCGAAGGGGAAGGCGACTTTAGAGAGGGTTGCGGCATCAGCGCCACGGATTTCACGTCCTCCGCGTCCTCAAAGCCATCTTTGCCAGAATCAGAACCGGAACATCCACTGGCCGCTCCGCCGGGATGGCGACGATATTGGGGATTGTTAGATTGGGAAGATCGCAATAGACCTGATATTATATCAAGTCCATTTTGTAAGCACTGTTATGATGACGGAGTTGCATGGGCCTGTAAACTGGATAGATGGTCCGGATGCAAGGTTTCGCACCCTGGTCGCTGCCTGTATGTCATCTCTTATCAGCAACATCCAAAAGAGGACGTTTCCATAAATGACCTTCCCGAGTATAGAATGAGAAGGCATGCGAGGGAATGGCGGGCAAGCGTCGGCACTCCGTTAGAGATACCAACAGCTAAAACCGAGCGAAGCCTGTTTATACGAGCTCCATCCATACCGGAGCAAGGGACGGTGAAGGCAGAAGCAACAGGACATGAGCCCATCGTACCGGAATCACGCCCAACATATTCGCAAGTCCGGAGTGCTTACGAGGACATAACTCGAGAGAATAAGCAGAATAAGGCTTTAAGGGCTCACTTCAACATGCCGCGCCCTGCGTTGTTTCCTGACAAGCCTTCTATGCCGACATGGGTAGAAGACGTGGAGAGATTTCAACCTGGAGATGATATGAGAAGACCCTGGTCGCGAGCTATGATGTCTATACCTTTCAAAAGTGGAACCAAAGCTGCAACTGTAGAAGCACTTACATTGGAAGATGAGTCGGAGTAAAGTGGCTTATTGCTCAGTATCTAATCGATTGCTTTGCTTCCGGGAAGGACTGATCACGCTGATCATTACGAATCTCCTTGTTTATATAAATAGAATACTTTTCTATCACCAATAGAATACTTCCGTCATTCCATCGTGTCTTAGGGTTGGCGAGGGGTATTGCATCCGCCCATGGTGAGGTTGAATGAACGGACGAAATGAAACGAAGCGGCTCGACGGAAAGATATATAAGACATTCCTGGCGGTTTGGAACTCACAACAAATTCATAGCATGTAGAATTCACTATCGTCCAATGGGCCAAGAGGCTGAGATATATTATGTGCCCTTACACACCAACGTCGACAGTTCTCGCAATTAAATATCTGATGCTCACAGCTTTGAGCGTTGAGGAATGTTTAGGACAGTCTGGCCAACTAGGAAGTACACAGGACTCGTAGCTACAATGCCATTGCAAGAAACGTTCAGATCCCAACCAGAGTCAGACGAAGGCCAATGAAGAATTCATCTATTACACCTTGCAAGAAGCCCAAGCTCTCTCTGTTATTGAAAGGGTGCTCAGTCCATAATTACGACACTGAGGCAAATGAAATCGGGTTGTGAGCTGGGCTGCCTCGTGTGAGTAAGCAGCTAGGCTCATGTGCATGCCAAGCTTCCAGAAGAAGTCACTCCAAGGGTAAATAGTAGGGAGTAGAGTTGATAATCCATGCTTATCAGAGTGGTACATTCAAAAAGACCATATCTATTACATGAGTATCTTCGGCATCCTTGAATAGAGTATTACAACCGCAGCGAAAAGAAAACTGCAATGACTGACCCAAGTAAGAGAATAGACTCTTCGACACATTGACAATCTGTACGCATACGGACTGGGCCCGATGGGAGTCCATCACCTAGTGAAAGGAGTTAGATGAATGCGAAAGGCGTTCAGTATCACAGAGGCATATGATCTGAATCTATTCTCCACGTCAAGCTCTTAGAAAAACCTTCTTGTGCACAGATGCCGAACGAGCACCATGCCATCCCACAAACGCCTACATTCGCGCTCTGAAGCCAAGTTGGACCAACCAGCCATAGTCAAACGGCCCAAACGAACCCTCAAACCGAAAGAGAAAAGCCTGGTGGAGCGCATCAACGCCCTGAGCGTCGCCCAGTTCTACGACCAGTTCTTTCCGCCCTCCGTCGCGGGAACGGTAGGGTCACCAACGAACCTCCACATCACCCTCTCAACATGGAAAGAAATGTCATCACCCTTTCGCGAAGCTTGTGTCGACCTCCTCAAACTGACCAGCCGGGACCACTACCACAGCTCTGAGAAAGGCTGGTCCCGTGCGAAGAAGTTGAAGGAGATGGGTCATCCTGCTATGAAGTATCTGCTTCTCCGCCCTGTCCCTGCCGCCCCTCCAACAGTGAAGGAGGGTAAGCTAGCAGGCCCAGAGCAGACTGAGGGGTTCTTGTCCTTCATGATCACGGAAGAGGATCGTTCTGAAGTCATTTACTGTTATGAGCTTCATTTGCAGCCAAGCTTACAAGGAAAAGGGGTGGGAAGGAGGATGATGGAGGTGATGGAGATGATTGGTTCGAGGGTAGGGGTGGAGAAAGCTATGTTGACTGTGTTTCGATCGAATGACAGGGCTGTTGAGGCTTATGAGAGATGGGGTTATCGGGTTGATGATTTCTCGCCTGAACCGAGGAAGTTGAGGGATGGGACGGTGAAGGAGCCGAGTTATGTCATTCTATCGAAGGGGAGGGAAGGATTTGCAAGGGAAGAAAGGGCCCATGAACAGAACGATCCTGGTGGGTTGTCGAAATCAGCTGATGAGAATGTAACAGACAACAAAACAGCAAGCGCACAGCATGGCTGACTAAGGCTGACAGTCTATATCCGTTTGATCTCTTTACCCTTCATTTCAGGCCTCTCGACCTCCCACTCGTCTCTAAGCACGGCGAAGAGCATGTCACCCACCAACATCGACAGCCCCAGACTCCATACCAGGGTGATTGCATAAAAGAAATTTGCATTTCCGGACCCTGCATATATCCAGAGATGATAGAACGCCGGGCCCAGCAGACTCGCATACAGCATGACGGATGTGGCAACGAAAGTGTAGCGCATTACTGCGTGCCGTTAGCTTCGATCGTGTTTTGAGTCTGGAAGGACTCACAAGGGAAGATATGCCTGTACAGCGGTACGAAGGCAAGGTACAGTGATACATCCGATATGCTAGGGTAGGGTTTGAATATGGCGAAAAGACCCAGAAGACTGGTGATTACGAAGAGAGGCTGTCGTCTGACGCGTAGGGTCAGGCCACCGACATAGGCAGCCAACTGCAGCCAAAAGGTACCCAAGAAGAATTCCCGGAACGAGTCAAAGATTTCGATGAAGAAGTACCACCACAGTCCCACGTTAGGCGTCAAATCTGGAACTGATAAGTGAAAGCCGTAAGTTGCGGAAAGGAAATCCCATGAGCCGCCCATGACCATGAATGAAAGCCAAAGAAATCCATTTATGCACGCAAAAAGCGAAGCTGTAAGATTCATGCCCATATTGAGGCCGCCGACCTTTTGGTTGCTTTTCTGAACCGCCTGATCCCAGCAGAGCAATGCCAGAGGTGGAAATAGTAGTATCGGATACATAGAGAGATAAGATGCTAACGCGAGGGCAAACATAGCCCTGAAAGGAGAGCCTGTGACTGCATTGGAAACAGCATGAACGATAGCTGTATTAGTGAAAGCGCTCGTGGACCGTCCAAAACATCCAGCAATGGTGAAAGGGTTGAAGAGGTATGCGATGCTCAATGCTGCCCCATCGAGCCGAGTTTCCTTGCGCGGCGAAGTGAAGAGTCTGCTCGAGACTGCTTCCCCAGAATCTGCTATCTTGGCAAGGGCATTGGCATTCGCAAGGTCCATCAGAGTGTAAAGGAGGCCCGTAGTCAGGGATATAGAACTTCGGCCAGGCAGAAGAGAGAAAAGCGGTAGTAGGAGAGGTGCCTGTGACCCAGCGGACGTCAGTGGAAGGGATATGCCCGCCAGCTGGGGAGAAATAGTACTTGATGGAAAATACCGCCTTCATAGGGGGACACATTGCGTATGTACAGAAAAAGGCCTTCTTGTACTGGAAGAACGATTAGCCGAAAGACATGATGCGAGTGGATCCAGAGGCTTTACATCTCTTGTAGCTGCTGACAGGCGTAGACACTTCTACCTGTCCTGTAAGCAGTTCAGGAAGCTGGGGAAAGAAAGCGAAGACCAAGATTCTGCCAACTATTGCGGCTGCAATGACCAGGGCTTTCCTCCTGTCAATGGGCATGTTGACTGTCATCCACTTCGACAGCATCTGGAGCATATTATCCGTTGGCGGCTCCTCTAAGCGGCTGTTCTGCTGTCTGAATGTCTGGAGGAATACAGCTACCTGCGGTCTCGGTTGACCTTCCTCCAACCAAAAAAGTTGTTCAGAAATTTTGTCCGCACCGCAACCTTTTCCTCCGCACTCTTATTCATGTAGGCTCGTTCGGTGCGATACAGAACAATTACAAGAGAAATGGGAAAGATCAAGAAGAAAGGCACTTCGGGACAGGCGAGGAACTACATTACAAGGACGCAAGCTGTACGGAAGCTTCAAATCAGCTTGCCAGACTTCCGCCGGCTTTGCATCTTCAAAGGCATCTACCCTCGCGAGCCCCGCAACAATAAAAAGGCCTCGAAAACATCCTCTCAAGCTACAACATTCTATTACACCAAAGACATCCAGTATCTTCTGCACGAACCATTACTTGCCAAGTTCCGAGAACAAAAAGCGCTGTCGAAGAAGATCGCACGATCATTGGGACGAAACGAGGTCAACGATGCTGTGCGCTTGGAGAAGTATGGGACCCCCAAGATCACCCTTGACCATATCATACGGGAACGATATCCTACTTTTGTCGATGCCATTCGAGACCTAGACGATGCCCTCTCGCTCCTTTTCCTCTTCGCGAATTTGCCGTCGACTTCGACAGTGCCTTCTAAAGTCATTGCGCGCTGTCAGAGACTGTGCCATGAATTCGAGCATTATCTCATCACCTCAAACTCGCTCCGAAAATCATTTCTCTCCATAAAAGGCATCTACTATCAAGCCACAATACAAGGACAAGATGTGATGTGGTTGGTGCCGTACCGATTTGTGCAAAAGGCAACACAGGATGTCGACTACAGGATCATGGGTACGTTCGTAGACTTCTACTCGACATTACTTGGCTTTGTCAACTTCAGACTCTACACATCCATTGGACTTGTCTATCCTCCAAAATTTAATGCTGAAAGCGATGAGAGAGGCGCAGAGCTTGGTGCTTTCACCTTGGAAGGCAGAGTCGGAGATGGTCTGGAAAACGGAGATAGCCTCAAGACCATCGCAAATGGCCATTCTCAGACGACAAACTCAGTAGAGGTCCAGAGACAACTGGAACAAGTAGTACAGTTGGAAGAGTCAGAGCAGGATCAAGAAAACGACAATCAGGCCGGCAAAGAAGAGAATGACGATGCACTTGATAAATTTGAAACTGCTGCGCCCGAAGCAGACACCTTGGCCCAGCCTGATCTTGATAGCAACCAGACTGCTTCACTGTTTGCGAGTTTCACTTTCTATATTTCGAGGGAGGCACCACGGCATCCAATCGAGTTCCTGCTGCGTGCTTTTGGGTGCAGACGCATCGGGTGGGATCCAGTTCTTGGTGAGGGTGCTTACACCAACGACGAGATTGATGGTCGGATAACACATCAGGTGGTTGATCGCCCCTCTTTGCCAGAAAGCACCTCTCTTGGCGAGTCTGGTGAACAGGGTCAAAATGTTGACAATAATTCCAGAACTCTACGACCTGGAATGCGGGTGCCTGGGCGCACGTACATTCAGCCACAATGGGTTTGGGACTGTATCAATGCTGGTCGCTTGCTTCGACCAGATTTATATGCTCCTGGCGCGACTTTACCGCCTCATCTGAGTCCCTGGGTTCAAGCTGCACCTGGGCAATATGACCCCAGAGCATCTTTGGCAGAGCAGGAATTGGACGGAGAGGCGCAGCAGGCGCTGGAAGAAAGTAGGAATGATGGCAAGGAAGATGATCCATCCTCTTCCGATGTTGAAAGCTCAGAGGAGGGTTCTGTCGATGGCAGAATGGATATAGCAGGCTCCGATAACGAAGAAGACGAGGTCGACGAAGTGCCAGCGGAAGAAGACTTTGCTGGTTTTGAGGACGAGGAAGCGGGTGGTGTCGGATCAGGCAACGAGCATGAAGATGAGCGATCACAGCATCAGAAGGAATTGGAGGCTGAAGCGGCTGGGCTACCTTTCTCCTCCACCCCTGTTTCAGGGAAACCGTCCACAGGCACAATAGGTACCGAGGCAAAGAAGCGTGCATTGAAGAAGCAGAAGGAGGAGGAAGAACTCGAACGCCGGAAAATGATGATGAGCCGGAAGAAGCGAAAGTTGTTCGAGAAGATGCAATATTCGAACAGCAAGCGGGATGCAGAAGCGGAAAAGCTACGAAGCAAGCGGAGAAGATTAGAGCGAGCGTCTTGATATCATCTGGCTTTCCATGATAAATGCAAAAGATGCCTGTGTAACATAAAGTCTTGATGAACGTAAAAATCAACAACACTGCGCCGTGCGATGATGGATTGCAGGTCCTTTTACGTATCGGGTTATCGCTCAATCCTGTCTTCCCCCTTTCCCAGAGCTTGGCAGGGGTTCAGCTCAGGGCAGGTCGGTGAAGAATCCTATTAAGGAATCCTATTAAGGAATCCTAAAACAGTATCAGTAGCTCATTCGGTCGGGAGCCAGCGCATACAGGCAATGTAGACTCGGCTTATCTTTTCACAGCGTCTCTGAATCAGACCTGATCTTCCCGTCATGACATGCAAAACTCATGGAGTGTCTTCTTCTCCAGGCAAATTCCGAATCCACACTACAAAGCCCGTCGCAGCGCAAATTCTCTGAAAGAAAGACTTCTTGCATGGCTGAGGATGTGAATGAATCAACTACCCACACCACGCATCACGACTCTGATTCAGACGAGTACCTCCCTCCTCAACCTTCCTCCAAGAGAAAAGGGAAAAAGCGTGCCGCCGAATATGCCGATCAACCATCATGCCAACACGACCTCACCACCGAAGCAGAAACCGCTTCTAATGACCGTCCAAACCGCTTCCACGGGCCCCCATCAACATGGCTCTCGTGGACATGCTCAGAGAGGGAGATTGTTAAATCTCTCGACCGGGAAAGGTCCGAGAATCTGAGCGCCCATCTGTATGTCGCCCATAAGATCAAGCAGCATGCCAGAAACGTACAGCGATCCAACCTCGCACGTGATAAGGCTCGGACTACGTCTACTGAGGATATCCATTCAGAGACAGCGGCTGAGAAGCCCTTCACGCCACCGAAGATGTGGACGGCATGGCCAATGCCGCCAGAGCAGGTACCGAGAGTGTTCCATACGACCGGTATTCTGGATGAGGATGATCCGCATACGATCAAGGGCCCTCGAGATGTGGGGCCAAGTGCTGAGCTGGAGGGCTGTCTCATCGCTACAGTTACGAGGGCCGCGAGGGAGAGATGGACAGAGCGGGAGTGGGAAGATAATGGCCTCGACGGCTCAGAAGCAGCTATCACCGACCAGCATATTGCTAAAAACGAACCCCCAGACTCTCGTCAACATTCTGCACCACCATACGCTCGGGGAATCCGGCGAAAATCCTCCACTCCACCCATCTTCTTCAGCTCCCAACCCCTACCCCAGAAATCGCCATCACCACCAATATCAGCGCATCCCAAAGACCCCCTAACATATTTACCGTCCTCATCCCCCTCATCCCCCACCTCCCGACACCCCCTCCCACCCCACGCGAGTCTCCGTCCCGTCCCAATCGCAGACGACGAACGCGCACGCACCCTCCTCCTCCCGGCAACCCGGCGCATCATCTCCAAATTAGACGACCTCCTGATGGGCTTGCATCGTGCCCGAAGAGCTTACACGAAACCCCGCAACCCCAGGAGCGGAAGCGAGACGCATACTCAAGCAGAAACGGAAATGGAAATGGAAAGCGAGAGTGCAAGATCCAAGACCCAATCCCGATCCCGAGGAAGGAAGAAGTC